CCTGGGGAGAGGAAGGCTGTGATATGTTGAGCCCCTTCCCTTCCCTCATGCCCTTGACCCTGACCTGAGGGACCTTGGCCTTCTGCAGAGACTGCCTGTGACCCAGCCAACCCTTTCAGTCCCCCTCAGTGGGTGTCTTTTTTCTCCATGACCTCACTTCCTTTATCCCTCCCTCCCCTGGGCCTGTGCACAGCTCAGCCTCTGCTACAGGCCCCTCTCCTGTATCCCATCACCCCCAGGTGACCCTGCGGCCAGAGCCCTGAGCAGACCCTCAGCACAGGGGCAGGGCTGGCTCCTCACCTGCCACCAGGATGTCCAGGGAGGCACTGGGGGCCGACCACACAGAGGAGAGGCGGTGTCCACTGTAGCACCTGTACCGGCCCCCATGGGTGCGGTTCACGTGGCCCAGGGGGAAGTCGGGGCTGAGCTGCCCATCCAGACGCTGGGGAGGTGTGAGCCCCTCGTCCTTGGTCAGCGCGAACCTGTCAAAGCCGGCCTCCGCGTGGCACTGGAGGGTCAGGCTGTGTCCAGGCAGCACCAGCGCACCTGGCTGGGCCGTGAGGGTGGGCTCCTTGTACACACCTGGGGGGAGGGGACAGTTGCACCAGAGGGCACCCCACATCGCCCACTGGGATGCAATGAGAGGTTTCATATGTCCCTCCTTGTGCCTCCCGCCTGTGGGTCTGCGCTCGAGAGGCCAGTGTCACTGACCAAATGAGCCCAGCTGGGCTCCCAACTTAGATCAGGTCTTTGGATCCAGGAAAAAGATGGGGTTGCATGCATGTCTGTCCTCACCTGTGACCTCGATGTGCAGAGGGGCACTGGGCTGTGTCCACACGTTGGGGTTGAAGTTGCGAGAACCGTAGCATCTGTAGGTGCCCCCATGGGAAGGGCTGACGGGGCCCACAGGGAAGATGACCTGGGCCTGCCACCTCCCAGCAAGTTTCCTCCATTCTGATTTCATGCTTCTATGCGTGTCAGTCTCTCCCTCCTTCAGCAGATGGAAAGGGCCTGATGTGAGGTTAGAGCTACAGGAGAGGAACACGTTCCCTCCTGAGGCCACCAGAGGGCCTGGCTGGGCTGAAAGGGAGGGTGCATCACCCACTCCTGGGAGAAGAGAAAGGGTCTGTGTTAAAGGGACCGTCACCCTCAGGCCCCAGGTGTGTTCTGTCAGGGGTGGGGTCCCCTGAGGCCACACTTTATTCCCTTTTCCTGTGACCTGGAGCCCACGGAGGGGAGGGGACATGGTGTCTCCCTTACCTGTTACCACCAGGGGTAGGGGGTCACTCCAATATGAGAGTATGTCCTCAGCGGTGTAATATGCACACTGGTACTGCCCTGCATGTGATGGGTTTGTGGCTCCAATGAGGAAGCCGGCCTTGTTGCTGGAGTCCTGTGGGATCTTCGTGTCCAAGAGCTCAGAGCCCCCCTCTTTATACAGAACATAGCCACTAGCCTGCAGAGACCCCTGACACCAGATGGTCACCAAGCTCCCGTTGGTGACAATGGGGCCTGGGTCAGCCCAGATGGAGGGTTTGGGGACGTCTCCTGGAAAAAAATCAGACATGAAAGGTCCTGGGAGCCCTTCTTCCTCCTCATGATGTCACGAATGAGATAATGATGTCATTGAATGAGCACCTACTGTGTGTGAGCCCATGCTGGGGTCTGTCACTCATCTCCTCTCACCTCATATCGGCCATGCATCAGGGATTGCTGACCTCAACACCCACCTCACTGAGGCTCAGCAAGGTTAACCACGTGCCCCAGGTCACCCAGCCTGGATGGGACAGGGCTGGGACAGGAGCCTAGGAAAGAAGATTCCCTGTGCTGTCCTCACGCTGCCCTGAGGGGGACACCCGCTTCGTGCTCTGGGCTCTTCCTCTGCAGGGTCCTGTCCACATCTCACCTGGAGCTGAGGGTCCTTCCTTGTTACCTGCCCCCAGCACAGCTGGGCCAGGAGGGCCAGGTGAGGGATGGACTCTGAGTCTCTCCAGGGTCCCTCTCCACCCTGCAGGCCCTGATGCCTCCTTGGGAGGTCAGGCTGGGCTGGGGGCTCTGCCTTCCTGAGCTCTGTGAGGCCCTTATGTCACCTCATCTCCCAGCAGCCTGTGAGCAGGATGGGACCAGGGATGAGCAGACAGGAACCTGACACTCAGAGGAGCAGCAGAGCCAGGAGCTGACCCAGGGCTGATCCACCCTGTTCCCTCCTCTGAGCTGAGCCTGAGCTGAGGGGGAGGACTGAGGGCCTTGCCCTGCCTGTCCCTCCCTGTACCGTGTCACTGTCACTGAGACAGAGGGGACAGGCCCCGTAACATCACGTCCTGGGGGCTTCTCTCTGAGGCCCTCTCCCAGGAGGTCAGGGCCAGAACTGACTGGAAATGTAAGCTCCGGGCCCTGATTCCCTTTTTTAACATGTGCAGACATGGAAGCCCAGGTAGGGGAAGGGCATGTGCAAGAGAGAGAGGATCCAGACCTGACACATGGCTCAGCCCCTGTCCCCAAGGTGGCACCCTCCACCTCCTCACAGAGAACCCCACTTACCCTCTGTGGGCCTGAATCCGTGGGTCATGAAGACAGAGCCTCAGAGCCCCTGGGGCCTGGCATTCCCTGAAATCTGTCCCAGCTCCTAGCAGCCTTAGGACAGCCTGCCCTTAATGTGTGGGCGGCATTAGGTCCTCAGACTCAGAACTCCCCAAGGGAGCTGTCTCCCTCTGAGCAAAGGGGACCATGAGGGACTAAGGATGGGTCCCCGGGGACTGGGAAGGACAGGAAGAAGGGGAGACTCTGGGGCTGACCCTGGATCCCCCGTCAGACAGAGTCCTCACTAAGTCTCTCCCACCTCCCACATGGCACCTTCTGGACCAGGTGACGGGGAGGAGTGGAGAAGGTATAGGGTGTGTCAGAGGGGCAGAACTCCTCTGAGTGACCATCCCTACTGTGCCCCTCCCTCCCTTTCAGCCCATGATGGTTCTGGCGATGGGACCCTGAGCTGACAGCTCAGCAAACAGGGTCAGGGGCCCTCACCTGAGACCAGGAGCACCAGGGGCTCACTGGGGTGTGACAGCAGGAAGGGGGAGGAGCTGCTTGAGCTGTAGCACCTGTAGGTGCCCCCATGGGCTGAGGTCACAGGACTCATGGAGAACTCTGCCTGGAACTGCTGAGCGCGGTGCTCTGATCTCAAACCAAAAGGGGGACTGGCTGCCCACTCGTTGGACAGAAAAAACATGTCCCTCTGGCTCCGTGACTGACACAGCAGGGTCACGTTCTCTCCTGAGACCACCCTGGGGCCTGGCTGCACTGAGAGGAAGGGTCTATCAGGCAGGTGTCAGAGAGAGAGAGAGAGAGAGAGAGAGAGAGAGAGAGAGAGACAGAGACAGAGACACACGGAGGGTGAGGGCTGCTGCCCACCTTGTTCTGCCCTGAGAGTCACCAGGCCTCTCTCTGAGTACCCTCCTCTCTGTCTGTCTCTGTTTCTTTGAGTCTCCCCTCTCTCTCCCACTTCCTGCCTTTCTCTCTCTCTGTATGGGGTCTGCACTTTCATTCTGGCCTCCCCACCAGAGACCCCCAGCAGGGCCTGTGCAGAGTCTGGGTCCCTGACTGAACCCACAGGCTCCTCACCTGCCACCAGGATGTCCAGGGGGTCACTGGGGGCCGACCACTCAGAGGAGAGGTTGTATCCACCGTAGCATCGGTACCGGCCCCCGTGGGAGATGCTCACAGTTCCCAGGGGGAAATGGGCCTGAGAGAGCCCAGCCTGGGGCTGCAGGGCAAGGCCCTGGGGGAGGTCCCGTCCCCCCTCCTTGTGCAGAGCGAATCTGTCATAGCCGACATCAGAGCCACACTGGAGGGTCAGGCTCTGGCCAGAGGCCACGACGGGGCCCTGCTGCTCAGGAGAGAGGGCTTCCCAGACTCACCTGGGGAGACCAGACATGAATGACAGGGGCTGCTCCTCCCATAAACCCCTTCTCCTGGCCTGGCCCCCAGCTCTCACTGTCTCTGTGTCCCTAAACCCGGAGCCCCTGTGCTCCCCTCACCCCACCCTTTCTCACAGCAAAGATGCTAATAATGTGTCTGCTGCCTAAGTCCATGGATGAGACAATAATGGGACTCACCTGAGACCAGTAGATCCAGGAAATCACTGGGGTGTGAGCACACCTGGGGTCTGTCCCTGTAGCAGCCATAGCATCTGAACATCCCCCTTTGGCTGGGGTCAGGGGGCCCACAGAGAACAGGGCCTGGGACTGCCCACTGGTGTTTTGTGAGTCCAGGGCCCAGGAGAGCCTGTGTTCTCCTTCTTCAGTCAGAATGAACCTGCCAAATCCCTGCCATGAGCTACACCGGAGGTTCACGTTCTTTCCTGAGGGCATGAGAGGGCTGCGCAGGGCTGAGAGGCTGGGTTTGCTATAGGCTCCTAGGAGAGGAGGAGGCAGCGTGAAAAATGGGATCATGCCTCCCTCATGTCCCCCAGGGCTGGGCTGTGAGAGGGAGAGTCCCTGAGAGCAGACTCCCTTCCTGAGGACAGAGTCGGAGGATGGGACCTCTGAGTGTCCTTTCGCCTGTCACCACCAGCTCCGGGGGGTCACTGCACTCTGATGAGTTAGTAAAGCTGAGATAGTAACAGCGATATATCCCCGCATCATTGTCTGTCATTTGTGTGATGGAGAAATTGGCCTTGTCCCCAGGATGCTGTGGCTTCTGACTATTCCATGATGATGGGCTTCCCTCTTTCTCCAGATGGTACTCCTCAGCCCCTTGGGTCCCCTGACACCAGATGGTCACAGGGTTCCCCCGGGGGATCACAGGGCCTGGCTCAGCCCAGAGGGTGGGTTTGGGGAGGGGCTCAGTTCGGAGGGTCCCTGGAACATAGGATATTCCCACACCTGGTCCCCAGCTTTCATTTCCAGAAGTCCCCATATGTCAGACAGATCCCGCCCCTGCTGCCTGGAGGATAGTCTTTCTCCCTAGTAAGGACGTGGATCTGGGACACCTGGGAGACTCACCTGTCTGCACTGGGGTCCTGAGGCCCACACTCAGCCCTGGAAGAGAGTCCCTGTGAGAGATTTGCCCTGAACCCTGAGCAGGACCCTCCTCCCCATGAGCCGCAGAGTCTTGGGGTCCTGACAGAGCAGGGATCCCCTTCCCTCTGCCATCTCACCGAGGGAGAGTAGTGCCCTGAGGATGGGAGTCATGGTGTCCTCTCCCAGAGGCCTCATCTGAGCAGATCGAGGAGATCTCAAGGCCTGTAGGATGGACAGACAGACATACAGGTAGTGGTTACTTGGAAGCTGGTCTTTCCTGTCCGGGGTATGTCATATCAACGACCTACAGACAAGGGCACAGCCTTTCTCTAGCAGCCTGACTCTCATTTTCATAGTGAAGTAGGAAACAGACCCACAGCCTCCTGATACGCTCCTTCCAGTGAGGTGGCCTAGGGCACCTCCTTCCCTGTCAGAGCCTCCCCCACGGGGTCTCCTTCCTCCTCAGCCCATACATCAGCACCTCCCTGGGGTCTTCACCATGGACAGTGCTTCCAGGGCCCTGGAGACACTTCAGGAAGACAGGTGCTGATGGCTTGTAGAGCTCAGATCAGCAGGGACACACTCACCCTCTCACTGTGCAGCTCAGCGCGATGTCCGTGTGACAGTGAGCACAGAGGGAAAAGCAGGGAAATAAGAGAGGCCACAAAGGGTGGTTCTCTTCCTTCTCCAGCCTCTGGTTAACTCCCTTTTCTTGCAACAGCAAAAGCACCCACCCCAGTGGCGTGGGAACTTGCACCTCTGAGTTTCTCCTCCCCTCAGAGCCCTTGTTCCTCAGGAAGATCTCTCCTCCTCATCCTGGGTTCCTGATTTCACAGTCAGAGATGATACGTGTGTTCTTGCTCTGATTTGGGGAACAAAATGGATTATTTATTTAGTTAGTTTTTTTATTTAAAAAATATATTTTTATTTTTTTCAGAGATGATGGCGAGGGAGAGAGAGACAGAAGCATCAATGCTGAGAGAGATTCACTGACCAGCTGCCTCCTGTAGGCCCCACATGGGGGATGGCACCCACAACCTGGGCATGTGCCCTGACTGAGATTGGAACCTCAACCTCCTGGTTCATATAGAGATCAACATACAACCCCATGAGCCATGGCAGCTGGGCTGATTCTTATTTAAATTGCCCTCCGTTGTCCATTATGTGTGTGACCTTCACCCTCAACATACAATCCCTTGAGTCTCAGTTTCCTCTCATGCAGCAGGTCATCAAGAACCCAACTCTTTAGAGTGGTTGTGGGGTCAGTGCCAGGAGACCTGGAGGAGTCATCCTGGTTTGTTTCCACACCTGACTAAGCCTGTGAGATGCGCCCTGAGCGGGGTTGTTCAGAACTCCCCAGTGATTGGATGATTGCAAAACCCACGTACAAATCCCCATCTGCTCCTGATGCTGAGAAAGGCCATGCTCACTGTTCCTGAAGCATGTGGCCCCAGATGGAGAGGGAAGCAGAATAGACAATGTGGGCCATCCTTGAGAGGCTACTGTGCCTGGGTGCAGCCAGAAGGCATCAGCGTGGAGTTTCCCACCTCTGTGGAGCCAATAAAGGCCAGCTGGGACCTCCTCAGGGGCTTCTGCATGGTTCATAGCAGGGAATCAATGCAATGCAAATGTGTGAAAAGGAAAAGGATGGAAAGAAAAGAGTTGGAAATACATAGTAATCAATGAAATTGGTACAAGATCTGCTCATCAGAGAGACACAAAATAAAGCACAATGGGGTATCTATCACCTCAACTTTCAGAATGGCTATCACCAACAAATGAACAAGTGACACTTGTTGGTAAGGATTTGGAGAAAAGGGGAACCCTGGTCCACTGCTGGTGAAAATGCAGACCGGTGAAGCCATTATGGAAAAGTTGTGGAGTTTCCTCAAATAATTAAAAATGGAATTGCCATTTGGCATAGTGATGCCATACATTAGAATATCCCCCAAGAATCCTGAACAGAAATCAGAAAGAACATAGATACTCCTATGTTCACAGAAGCCCAATTCACAATAGCTAAGATCTGGCAACAGCCCAAGGGCCCATCAGTATATGAGTGGGTAAAAAAGCTGGTATATTTACATGTTGGAATGTTATTTAGCTATAGAAAAGGATTTTTTTCCTTTTGAGACAGCCTGGAAGGACCTGTAGAATATAATGTTAAGTAAAATAAGCCAGTTAGAAAAAGGTAAGTATTGCATGATCTCACTTGTATGTTGATTCTATAAACTGAAGAAGAAAACAGATTTAGAGACATAGAACCATGGAGCAGGCCATGGAATCTCCAGGGAAGGAGGAGATGTCTGGGTTGGTGAGGAGAAATCAACGTGGGGATTTATATGCACAGCTCAGGGACACAGACATTAGTGTGGAGAAGGCCTGGGAGGGGCAGGTGTGGGGAGTGGTGGCTCATGAGAATGGACTGGCGATGCAGCAGCAAAACAAAATGTTTGTCATGAATTCAACAGTGACAGACACTCCAAAGAAGATGATCCATGGACGGTAGCAACAAGGCCATGGCAGATCCAAGTGCCAGTACAGACTTGGATTTTTTCCAGTTTGATTTTTTTTTTTGACAGGGATCCTTTCAAGGCCAATTCTTTTGAGGAAATTGATCTATTTGGAGGTGGATCTTTCAATGATTCAGATCCATGTACATCGCACAGCTTTCCCAGGCAATCTTTTGACCCTGTGGCCACGTCTAGTGTTGAGCCTTTCATACAGCCGGCATCAGCAGTGACCTTTTAGTAGAAACACTGAGGTACCATGATCCTATCACTCCAGGTGAAAGGTTGTTGTTGAATCTAGTGATTGTCCCACAGACCCGTTTACTAACATTAACAATGGTGGTAATTATTCATATTGGAAATGCATGTGTGACCTCCAAACTGATTGATGTAAATGTACAAACCAAAAAAATCTGAGTCAAGTTAAAAGAGGCCTGGAAAATTGTTAAGAAGTTACTTAAAACAAACCTTATTTATTACTTAAATAAAATGATGCCAACAATTCAAAATTACTTATTTATTATCAAAATATTATGACGTCTGCTCAAGATAGCAGAGGAAGTAAAAAGGAAGTACTAAAATCCCTCCCCATGACAACAGTAAAATCCCAACTAAACTACAGAGCAACCAGCATTCGAACCAGCATTGGAATCTAGGTGAACAGAAGGTCCTACTAAGGACACAAAGAAGAAGCCTCATGGAGATGATAGGAGGGTGGAGATGTGCAATAAGCTGTACCACGTGGAGCAGGTATCAGGGCTTTCCCCCCCTAAGTTCTTCTTGGTTTAAAAATAATCCCACAGCCCAGCAAGTGAGGCTCAGTGTTTGAACATCAACCTATGAGTCAGGAGGTCCCTGGTTGAAATTCCAGTCAGGGCACCTGCCTGCGTGGCGGGCTCCATCCTCCAAAGGGGCAGTGCAGGAGGCAGCTGATGTTTTTCTCTCCTCAATGTTTCTATTGTCTATCCATCTCTCTTCCTCTCTCTCTAAAATTAATAAAAACATAGTTAAATAGGTAAAAGTGAAAAAAAAAAAACAATCCCAGGGTTATGAAGATACCATATTTCGTTGTTGTTGTTGTTGTTGTTGTTGTTGTTGGAATGGATGTGGTCCAGCATGAAGGGGTGTATAAATGTGAATCCAAACCAGCCATGTGGGACGGAATCTCACGTCACAGGGTGAGAACAGAAGGGCAGTGGAGGAGAGTCAGCGAGGTCATGGAGGAAGAGAGAGCTCCCAGGTAGATGGCAGAGGCATCCTGTACAGGAACATGTTCTCCTGCACTCAAGCCTCACAGACCTCCTCTACCTCCCTGGATATTCTCATCAGACAGTTTCCCCAATTATGGTCCATATTCTCTTTCAGCACCTCCTGGGATCCTCATTCTCCATCAGCACCTCCTGGGGTCTTAGGATGGGTTCCCAGGCTCCCTGACTCTGAATGGTGCTCTGTTATCTCTGTGTTCACATCCTGGCTCCTTGGAGGGCCATGTTGGTGTCCTTTCGAGCCTGAAATAGCAGCACTCCGAGCACCACCAGGACCAAGCCAGCCACGCCCATCCGGATGAGATTCTCCACCATGTAGTCTTGGGGAGGGAAAACAAGAGTTGTAGTTAAGGAAGTCTAACAGGTCAGGGCAGACCCAAATCTCCAGGATTTTAGTGTCTTTTCTGGGCTCTCATCTCCCCTTCACTTCAGCGTCCCAGTGATATCTGAACTCAGTATCTGCTCTGAGACACCCTGTAAGAGCTGTGCCTAGGAACTGAGGATGAGAAAGGATGTGATGAAAATTGAGACATAACTAAAAGCTGTGTGTTCTGTGTTCAGCCTGTGCCTCAAGGCCCCATGAGGTTATTCCCCTACAGCTGAGAGATCCTATGTTTTCAACAGTTGGGGACCCAAGGTCCATGAAGGAGGGGTGGTGTCAGGGGCTCCTGAATCTCAGGAGCATGAAGGGGTGAAAGTCTGGGCTGGATCTCCTTCACCCACCCCACCCAGGCTCCTCTTCCCTGAGGTCCGCATTTTCATCCTCACCTGAAATTGTTGATCTATTTATTCTTCTATTAACACATTTATTTATGAATTAAAATATTTAAATCGATTTCAGAGAGGAAGAGAGAGGGAGAGATAGAATCATCCATGCTGAGAGAGAACCATTGATTGGCTGCCTCCTGCTCACCCCCTAGTGGGGACTGAGCTTGCAACTCCAGTATGTGCCCTTGGCCAAAAATCAAATATGGGACCATCCATTCCATAGACATAAGGTGTTTTTTTTTTTTTTTTTTTTTTTTTTTTTTTTTTAGGGGAAGCTGTGGCCCATTTGGTCAGTCCTTCCATCCTATGGAACGTGGAGGGGGGAAATAGGAATGGCATCGGGAATAAAGAAGTGGCATTCCCTTTGACTGCTGGGGATTATCATTTTTATATCAAAGGATCAACTGAAAAGCACCCCCCAGGGAGAGTCTTTGGGAGGCTAATAGGTCATGATATAAGTGTGTCCACACAAGAGTTTTCCTATGGGCACTTACTTCCATTTAAGAAATCTACAGGGATCACACCGCTTACTCACAAATTGCAATGTTAGTTGTGTAATTCTCTAGTAAGTGCGCTTTGCATTTGCTCAATTGTACAAATAGCTGTCACATGCTTCTGAAGTTCATTTAAAAAGCTCATTTGGAAATGTGCTGGATAAGATGACTTCATAGAAACAAGAAATTATTCTCCATGACAAATGGCTGAATTTAATCTATTGCCAATGAAAAGAGAAATGAGTGTTTATATTTCTATCTGGATTCAATATATTGAAAGGAAAATTGTGAGCTTATAGACGGAATGAAGTATGGCCTGAAGGTTCTCTAAAAGGAGCCACAATAGACCCGTGTGCACAGAAACCCTGGGCAGAGGTGAAGGCACAGAGTCCGGCCAGGAGCCTTCAGGTCCACTTACTTCCTGCATGGTCCCTCCTTATTCTCAGATGAGCACTGGGGCCTGGAGGCCTCCAGGTGAGCATAGCGGGCTGTGTAGTTCCCTGCCCATAGGCAGGATACTTCTCTCTATAGGGGAATGTCTCTTGGGGATGGGGTTCCAGACACCCAGATTCTGAGATGAAGACATCAGGAGGTAAATGTTGGGGGAGTGTCTGTGTTCTCTGCTCAGTCCAATCACAGTCTTGCTCATTTCACACACATCTCACTCGCCCTCCTTACCTGCATCTCTGCTGAGGATGAGAAATGGGTTTAGGAGTGGGAGGTCCTATCTCTCTACTCTCATGGGCTGAAGCCTGCTCTGTGGAACTTCCTTTACCTCCTAGTTTATCACTGTCACCCACACTCCTAGGGACAGGCCCTGAGCAGAATGAGCACAGAAAGGACAGCGTCAGGGCTCCTCACCTGAGACCACCAGCTCCAGGGGGTCGCTGGGCTGTGACAGCAGGTAGGGGGAGGAACTGTTGGAGCCATAGCACCTGTAGGTCCCCTGGTGGCCTGAGGTCACAGGACTGAGGGTGAAGGTGGCCTGAGAGGGTACAGACGTGTTCTGCAGACGAAGGTGCTGGGGAGGGTCCAGTGACCCCTCCCTGTGCAGGTGGAAGGTGTCCAACCAGCTCTCAGCCCCACACTGCAGGGTCAAGGTCGCTCCCCAGGGCACTGAGGGTCCTGGCTGGGCTGAGAAGGAGGGTTTCCTGGACATTCCTGGGGAGAGGAAGGCTGTCATGTGTAGAGAGCCATGCTCCACTCACACCGTTGACCCTGAGCTGAGGGACCTCGTTCTTCTCAAGAGACTCTTCCTGTGACCCCTCTCAGCTCCTATCATTCCTTGCAGGGGGTTTCTTTTATCCAAATGACTCTTTTTTCCGCCCTTTCTTAGGCCTCTGCCCAGCTCAGCCTCTGCTCCAGGCCCCTCTCCTGGGGCCCATCACCCCCAAGTAACCCTGGGCCCAGAGCCCTGAGCAGACCCTCAGCTCAGTGGCAGGCTGGCTCCTCACCTGCCACCAGGATGTCCAGGGGGGCGCTGGGGGCCGACCATGCAGAGGAGAGTTGGTGTCCACTGTAGCATCTGTACCGGCCCCCATGGGTGCGGTTCACATGGCCCAGGGGGAAGTCAGGGCTGCGCTGCCCATCAAGTCGCCAGGGGTGTGTGAGCCCCTCGTCCTTGGTCAGCGCGAACCTGTCAAAGCCGGCCTCCGCATGGCACTGGAGGGTCAGGCTGTGTCCAGACAGCATCAGCGTGCCTGGCTGGGCCGTGAGGGCAGGCTCCTTATACACACCTGGGAGGAGGGGACAGTGGCTCCAGGGGGCACCCCACATCTCCCACTGGGATGCAGTGAGAGGTCTCCCATGTCCCTCCCTGAGCCTCCCTCCTGTGGGTCTGTCCCCAAGAGGCTAATGTCACTGATCCATATGACCTCAGGGCCTCAATGGACACACAGCATAGTCATTTGGGCCCAGGAAACGGATGGGGATGCACCCGGGTCTGTCCTCACCTGTGACCTCGATGTGCAGAGGGGCACTGGGCTGTGACCACACGTTGGGGTTGGACCTTTGAGAACCATAGCATCTGTAGGTGCCCCCATGGGTGGTGTTCACAGGGCCCAGAGGGAAGATAGCCTCGTTCCTCCCCATCCACCAACGATGGAACCTGGGTTCTGATTCCACGAGTCCAGAATGGTCAGCCCCTCCCTCTTTCAGCAGATGGAAAGAGTCCGGTATGAACCAAGGGCTAAAACAGGAGAGGCGCACGTTCCCTCCTGAGGCCACCACAGGGCTTGTCTGGGCTGAGAGGAAAGGTGCACGGCCCACTCCTGAGGGAGGAGAAAGGGTCTGTGTTAAAGGGACTGTCACCCTCAGGCCCCAGGTGTGTTCTGCGAGAGGTAGGGTTCCCTGAGGCCACACTTTATTCCCTCTGCCTGTGACCTGGAGCCCACATTGGGGAGGGGACCTGGTGTCTCCCTTACCTGTCACCACCAGGATCAGGGGGTCACTCTGCTCTGAGAGTATGTTCCCAGTGGAGTAATATGCACACTGGTACAGCCCTGCGTGGGATGGGGTCGTGGCTCCAATGAGGAAACCGGCCTTGTTGCTGGAGTCCTTTGGGATCCTCGTTTCCCAGGGCTCAGAGCCCCTCTCTTTGTACAGAACGTAGGCACTAGCCTGCAGAGATCCCTGACACCAGATGGTCACAGAGCTCCCGTTGGTGACAATGGGGCCTGGGTCAGCCCAGATAGAGGGTTTGGGGACGACTCCTGGAAAGGAATCAGACCTGAAATATCTGCGATGTCCTTCTCCCTGCTTTCCCAGCTGTCCCTCCAAGGCCCCTCCCAGATTGGTCCCCATTGTTCCAAACCCTGTGTCTCCCCAGCTGCCCAGGCAGTGACTCTGCTGCAGCAGGAGTTTGGGGGTGGGGGGCACTCACCTGCCTGTACCTGGTCCCATAGGCCCTCAAACAGTCCTGGAAGAGAGACCCTGTGAGAATCATCCCCACCCACACACAGAAGCTCCAGACCTGGTCTGGGACCCTGAGCACTGGGTACAGACCTGTGGCTGAGCATGTGTCCTCCCTCCGAAACCCAGTCCTCACTGAGCCTCCTGGGTCCTGAGGTCTCTCAAGGCCACGACATGGGAGGGGAGGGAACCCCATCTCTCCTCCTTTCCCCATCAACTCACCAAGGCCCAGGAGGACAATGAAGGTGAAGGTTGTTGTGCTGTCTGCCATGGTCCCCAGTGGCACTGATGATGGATAAAGACCCCAGAGCTGAGCAGGACAAGCAGATGCAGGGATGTGACAGGGTCCCGGCTCCAGGTGACAGGTCCCTGTTTCCTCATCAACCTCACTCTGCTCTTCCTGAAGGATGGCTGAGGACACAGCAGGTCCAGGAACCTTCAGGACCAGATCTGAGTCTCAGCAGAACCCCCACACTCTGCTTCCACCTCCTGTCCAACCCCAATCCAGAGGGTGACCCTGGTCCTAGTACTGATGGTGCAGGGCCCAAGTCAGAGCAGAAGGAATCACCAGTTCCTGCCACTCACAGAGTCTATGTGATCTTGGGAGTTCCCTTCTCTTTGCAGAGAGACTCCACACATGCTCCGTTTTCTCCCTTCCCTTCACCATTCCGTCAGCCCAGTGATGGCTACTTAGCTGTTAATCCCAGCCCCTACCCCATTCTTTCCCCAAAGCTCACCGAGGCCCAGAAGGGCAAGTAGGTTCTGGATCAGGGTGCTTCCTCACATGATCCCAAGTGTGCAGACGACATAAACTCCACAGAGCCTGGGGAACAAAGGCAAGAATGGGTCCAGTCCCCGAGTGATAAGTTACTGGTTCTTCATCAGTGTCCTCAAAGGAAGGAAGTAGTCCCTCCCTGAAGGGCGGGCGCAAGAGTACAGCAAGCTGTGGGACCTCTGAGACTGACCCGAGTCTCACCAGACTCCACACACTCTGCCTCCACCTGGGGCCAAACCCAAATCCAGAGGGAGACAGCGGTCCCTGGTGAGGAGGGTGGAGGAACAGGGCAGGAGAAAACCCCACCCAGTTTCTGGCCCAATTCTGACTCTGCCTTTTCTAGACCCTCCGTGAGCTTGTGTAGGACACTTCCCTTTCCTGAGCCTCTGTCAGTGAAGTTCTTTTTCCTTTTCTCATTGGTTAGGCAATCAGGCAGTACTTACTGGGCAGTAACCCATGCTGTCATTGGCCAGGCTCTGGAAAGTTGTAGCTGAAGCTCAGGAATCCCTTCCATGGACTCATGGGGCTAGGGTGAATCAAGCAGATGTTACAGATATTTAGGCGGCAGACATTTCAGTTACCATCTCATGTACCCGTTGGGAGAGTAAAGGAAATGAGAAAATGAGGTTCAATAACTGGTAGATATCATGCAACCAGGGTCCTGGATGAGGGGGTCCTTCTCAGGGACTGACTGACTCAAGGCATGAGCAGGGACCAGCCCAGAGGATGGGACCAGAAAGATCTGGAGCTGTCCTCAGAAATGAGAGCAGTCAGGCGAAGCCGCAGGCTGTTCACACAAGCGGTTGTGCACCATGCAAATATTTGGAATATATTCTTGAAGTCTTGTGCATTTACCCAGAATGCATTGCAGGTATCTCTGAGGAACTTGATCCTGGCTGTTCCTTCACCAATACTTCACCACACCCATAGACCCTTGCAGGACTTTTGGGCCTCTGCATCAGGGTCCCTTGGGCTGTAAAATCTGAAAGAAAAAAAAAGGTCAAACATGGTGCCATTTTTTATTGTTTTATGCCCTGTACATGCATTTCTGTCTCTGATAAAGGGAAACCATTGTTGCTCACCTCAAAGCTGCCTGAGGCTGCCCTTGGAAGCATTTGAGAGCTGAGTGGTGTTGGCCCTGGTGCGAAGCTCACATAGATGAGTCTGCAGGTGCCATGTACTTGGTGAAGGGCACATTGGAGAAAGCACCTGTGCCCATGTCCTGGCCTCCAACCTTGTGCCACCTGCTAAGAGGAAAGCATGTGTTGGATCCCCCTGCAGAAAAGCTAAAGAGGATGGCATCTTCCTGGGCACTGATAAGGACATGGATGAGTTTATGACTGGATTGGAAGTTTGTAAAGTCTTCTGAAGATAGATTTAGCTTCTACCTGACTAGCCTACCTTTGGGTGTTATGTGACCCTGTGGGAAGCTTTCAAAGGATATGTTTGCCTTGGCTTTTCAGTCAGTCAATTAGAATTTAATAAGGGCATTGGTCCTCCTCACATTTTTACTCTTGAGATGCTCCCACCACCAGACAGAGCCCATTAAGAAAGAGCACCATAGGATTCAGTCCTGCTACAGATTTCTCTGCTATTATTAAGCTAGGTGCCCTGAACAATGACATGATTGACTCAAAGAGGAATAAGAATAATGTGAAAGAATAAGAATAAGGAGAAAGAAGGTACTCCATTTTATTTTTGTTAATCCTCACCAGAGTATATTTTTTTCCATTGCTTTTCAGAGAGAGTGGATGGGAGGTGGGAGAGGGAGGGTGGGTAAGAGAGAAACATCAGTGTGAGAGAGACACATGGACTGGTAGCCTTCCTCCCATGCCCTAACTGGGGCTGGGGATCAAACCTGCTACCCAGGTATGTGCCATTGACCTGGATTTGAACCTGAGACTCTGTGGTGCAGGGGCCTATGCTCTACCCATTGAGAAATACCAGCCAAGGCTAAAAGTGATTTTTGAGACAAAACGGGAAGGAGAGAGGGAGAGAGAAACATTGATTGGCTGCCTCTCGCACCTTAACCAGGGACCAAACCTTCATTATTTCCCCAAGAGGAATTAATTCCAGAGTATTTGGTGTATGTGACAATGCTCCAACTGAACGAGCCAGCCAGCCCCGCCTAGTGTAATATTCATGATGTCATATATTGTATTTTTCATTTCTGAGTTTTAAAAGTGTTTTCTTCGTGCTGTTATAACTTTCCCTAAATTCATGGAACATCTTTATAACCATTACTTTGAATTCTATATCTGACAAATTGTTTACTTTCATTTCATTTAATTGTCGTTTTTTTTTTTGTTTGTTTCTTTGTTTTGTTTTTAAGATTTCTACTGTGGTTTTTTGTTTTCTTTCATTTTGGGCCTATTTCTCTGTCTCTCTATTTTGGTTGCCTCTTTTGTTTGTTTCTGTGTATGAGCTAGGTCTGCCATGACTCCCAGCTTGGTGGGGTGGCCTAATGTGGTAGGTGTCCTGTTGGACCAAGTGCCATAGTCTCTTTGATCATCTAAGCTGGGTGCTCTAGGGATTTCCCATGGATTATGTGGGCTCTCCTTTTATAATTGAATCATATATATATATATATATATATATATATATATATATATATGTCAACATTTATTTGCTCTTAGTCCCAGGCCTGGCCCCACCCTGCTCCTGCCTCTGACCCTAACCCCGCCCAGCCCCCGCCCCAGGCCCCGCCCCATCCCTGCCCTGCCCTTTACCTGGCACCCAGCCTACTCCTCTGCTCTCCCTCCCCACCCCCTCTGCCCCAATCACCAGTCCCTTGTTTTCAATCTCTCATTTGCATAGATAACTGGTCAACCGATCACTCTTATCCACTTCCAGAGAGAAAGTCAGGGCCAGGCCATCTGGTTGACCCTGTCTCTCATGGTCCCTACAGCTTTGAGACTGGCTGGCTATCTGGTTGACCTGGTCTCTTACGATCTCCATTGCTGCTCTAGACTAAGTCTGGACCGGCCATGTAGTCGACCCCGATCTCAGTCTGCATTGCTGCAGCAGACTAAGTCTGAGCCGGCCATCCGGTCAACCCCAATCTCACGATCTCCACTGCTGCCCAAGATTAAGTCCAGGCCAGCCATCTGGTCGACCCCGATCTCAGTCTCCATTGCTGCTCAAGACTAAGTCCGGGCCAGCGATCTAGTCATCTAGTTGCCTGGAGCCACCACACAACCCTAAGTCCCTGAGGGCCGCCTTGTGCCTGCAGTTTTGGGAGTGCTGCTAGTCCCGTTTCCTAGGAGGGGGAGGAAAATACGGGGAGGAGAGAGCCGGCCCTCAGCCCCACTGAGAAAAGGGCCGTGACCGCAGCCACCCACCACCAGTTTCCAGTTCCAGCCCACGGCCAGAAGGCCCTGGCGGGATCAAAATAGGAGGCTGAGGTCCCCATGCCAGGAGTGAAAGGAAGAAAAGGAAAGGGACCCCACCTTCAGCTCCGCGTGTGCGCATGTTTCCCGCCCTCCCCCTTCCTTACCTCAACAGGTCACTGCGCTGCCCTGGGCAAAGAGAGAAGCCAGAACAAGACAAACCCTGTGTCCATGGCTGACTTTCAATAGATCGAAACGAGGGATCTGCTCTGCTAAGTGCGAAACCCCCACCAGAAGCAGGTTGTCTGCCAATGGTTCAGCACCAGGTTCCCCAGGAACCTGCATTGCTGAATGGCGAGGGAGGGGTGTGTCGGGGATCTGGCGGGAGCCACCCTGGTTTATTTCCACACCTGACTAAACTGTGAGGTGAGCCATGAGCGGGGTTGTTCAGAACTCCACAAGAATTGGATGATTGCTATACCCAAGTACAGTTAGAAGGAAATATGTTGAGGAGGCCCAGCTGGTCACATCCCTGGAGTTGAAGGAATTCGTCAAGTGTCACAAAACCTGCACTTCTGAGGAAGAGCTGGCCAAGCTGGGGAAGAGTGGAGTGGCCTACAGCAAGGAACAGCAGGATTGAGGGAAAGTGTGGAGTCAAGGAAGGGCCAGCTGGGACCTCCTCAGGGGCACCTGCATGGTTCATAGTAGGAAATCAGTTGAATGCTAATGGATGAAAAGGAAAGGGATAGTAAGGAAAGAGCTGGAAACCCATAGTAATCAATTGGTACAGTCACTGCTCATCAGAGAGACACAAAATAAAAAATAGTGAGGTCTCATCTCACCTATCAGAATGGCTATCACCAACAAATCAATAAATAACTTGTTGGTGAGGATGTGGAGAAATGGGAACCCTGGTCCACTGCTAGTGAGAATGCAGACTGGTGAAGCTATTATGAAAAATGATGTGGAGGTTCCTCAAATAATTAAAAATGGAATTGCCTTTAGTCTAGGGATTCCACACCCAGAATATGTCCTAAGAATCCTGAAACAGAAGTTAGAACATACATACACTTATGTTCATAGAAGCCCAATTCACAATAGCTAAGATCTAGAAACAGCTCAAGGGCTCATCAGTAATTGAGTGGGTAAAAAGGCTGGTACATGATG